TAAATACTAATTATAACCGTATTTTTATTTTTGTCGAAAACAACTATGAATATATGTTATTGTTTCTGCGGCCCTCCAATGTGTACAGTCAATTGTATTGGCCCGCGATTTCATCTGGTCTTGACAGCCCTGGTGTAGACAGTAAATGTTATCCTAGAAAATAGAATAATACTTATTTGTATATATGATATTTAGAATCAATTATCATTCTAAAGTGAATTCATATTAGTTAAGAAGTAAACCACTTCACTTAGCTCGCACATATAGTTAGTGCTCAACTTAACGCATTTTTACTATAAAACGAATGAGAGTTAAATGTACTAAGAAACTTTAAAATAAAGTAAAACAAAATAAAAAAACAGAATAGAAAATAAAAAAGTGCTTACTAACCGCACTAAAAACAAGGAATATTAGAAAAGATTTCTGTAAAAACATACAGAAGAGGCATAAGTTTTTTTTATTAAACATAGTGTACATTTTATCAGATCCTTATAATATATTAATCAAATTAATTATATTATTAAAAATTAATTATGTTTTTAAACAGTTATTTTGAGATGTTTTAAAGTGGTCTATATTTGTATATAGAAATGAAATCACTACTACTACCAGTACTACTTTTTATAGTACTTCCATTAAAACACTAATTCAATATTTTATCTACTTTCATATCTGATGCGTATTTTCATTATTTAAAAAAAAGTATTGCAATTAGGTTTTTTTTAACTATAAAACAATAAAAAAAAACATTTATCAATATAATTAGTTAGTTGATTCGTCATCGGTTACTCTGTAGTTCCATCGATTTGTGAAATGATTCGGAAGCTAAATCGCCTCAAACAAAGTTCAATTCTTATCTAAAGGTATTTCTTTTAAATTTTGAATTATTTTATCTTAAAAAAAAAACAATTTAAATTTAAATAAACGAAATAAAATTTCAATTAAAATACAAAATAATTAATTAAAAAATATTCTAGATTTTAATACAAATATTATATATTAGACATATTGTATGATATTACTTTAGTTTATATTATCAAAAAATGTTTTATTTAATATTTATTTAAATATATACATATTTATACTAGCTGACCCGGCGAACGTTGTTTCCCCTTGGAATTAATTTTCCTGGCGTTCGTTGCGTTGCTCTTGACTTTCATTAGCACGTGTAATTGTATCCTGGTTTCTTACATCTTCATTGTTTTCTGCCGATCTATTTAACCGACGGTTCTGGAGTAATTGTGAATTCCGAGTCCGTCGACCAATATTTCCTCCTCGTCCACGAAGACGTGGCATTGTTTTTTGTACGATATTTATATCTTTATATATATAATTCTTCTTTTTTGTGTGTTGAATTTTTGAATTCGCTGGATTTACCAGGAATACCACCACATAACTTAAGATTAAAAATTGGCTCACCTATAATTATGCTGCGGAATTTAAATGCACTTAAGCTATGCAACGTCAGTTTTACAATTCATTTTAGAGATTTTAAAGTTTTTAAACAAATCAAAGTAAGCATGAATAAATTTTAAATTTTTAATATAAATGTATATGGATACCAAAAAATAAAAAATTGATTAAAAAGACATTATCCAGTGGGCCAAATTGTGAATCTAAACCTTCCTTGAATCCACTTGAACACACATAAAAAATTTCATTAAAATCGGTTCAGCCGTTTAGGAGGAGTTCACTGTCAACACACGTACAGAAGAATTATATATATAAATGTATTAAGAATAAAAGTAATTTTTCAACTAAAACAATTTTTTTTAAGCTTACTTTTTTTTCTTTTCAATATGAATTTTTTTTTTTTACTGTAAACTAATAAACTTTTTTGATTTTTTTGATTTTTTAAATTTATTAATTACTGAATTATTTAAATGCAGTACATATAATTGTTTAGAGTTTCATTAGTCCATATTTATTGGTCATTAAAATGAATTTGGCAAAGTTTATAATATTAAAAATATGAATAATTGTTTTTTAAGTGTTTTTAATAAGTAAATTATAATTGAATGAAAAAATCAAATCAAAATTTAAATTAGTCTTGATTGATATTGTAAGCTAACTGGACAAACTGTAAGAAATTTTTTATTAGAGAATAACTTACAACAATTAATTAAATGCAATTTTTGTTTTCCTACTGAATTTATTTAATTATTAAATATTTAATTTGATTATTTCTTACAATAAAATTTATTTAGAGTTTATATAGTTATTAATTAATCATAATTCTTTACTAAAAAGAAGATGGTATATTATTTGATTATTTGTATTTATAAAAATTAATTTTAAGGTAAATTTTTTCTTGCCGATAATGGCGTGTCTTTTTATGACGAAAGAAACTATTTAAAAGTTAGACCGATTCGAATAGCAAAGAAAGACAAAGACAAAAATTTTTTGGAAATAATCGAATTTTATTTAATTAGTTTATAGTCCGTATATAATTTGTTCAGACACGATTAGTCATCGCTTCTAATTTGACAGGCATGAGTTCTAAGCCTGGCACTTGCAGTCCGAAGAAATTATATTCGGACTATAAACTAATTAAATAAAATTCGATTATTTCCAAAGACCACTGATGAAGAGTACTTGGCAGTACTCGAAACAGCATTGTATGGTCAGCCAAATTTCAATAAATTAAAAATAAAAAAATGTTTGCCTTTGTCCTTTCTTTGCTATTCGAATCCGTCTAAAATATTAATATTTACATAAAAAAATATAACATACTTATATAGATGAATATTTTTCTGGAAATTGTTACTAACACCTTGAAGAGATTTCCAGACTCGACTCGATCACTTGTTCCGGCTTACCATCTGTACTTAAAGCATCTGTAAATACAAAAGTATGTTATTGTATACGCTAAAGTTAATTATGTACAATATACCATACCAAAAAGTGCTGCTGTCACATTCTCTAACGCTCTTAAGGACTTCTTGCCTTGGGTACCATTCTCCAAAATTCCAGGAAATTTTTCGCGTAATTGGTTGTTTTTTAATAACGCGTCTCATTGATGCAGTCTATAAATAACGTAATAGATGAAAAGAAATGTATGAATTAGTAAAATTGTTACATGTGAATATATTAATAAGTTGAAATTGAAAGTAAGAAACATATATAATTTAACTTACAACTACTTCAACGGCAGTGATTTCTTCATTAA